GGGGGGGGGGGGGGGCGCACTGCCGTAGCAGCAGCAGCAGCTGCAGCAGGAGCAGCAGCAGGGAGAGCTGCTGAGTTCAGTGCAGGCTGCTGCTTGTGGGCAGCTGCTGGAGGTAGTGAAGGAAGCAGCCCTGCTGCGGTTACGAAGGCAGCAGCTGCAGCAGCAGCTGCTGGTCGCTGCTGCTGCTGCTGCAGCAGTTGCAGCAGCAGCAGACGACTGCGCCAAAACCATCTGGTGCTGGCTGTCTTCGTGCTGCTGCTGTCTCGAAACACACAGCTGAAGCTGTGGCGGCGAGGGCGGCTGCTGCAGCAACTGCATCAGCTGCAGCTGCAGCAACAGCAGCAGCAGCTACAGCAGCAGCAGCACCATAACGGAGCTGTTGGGGTTGCGGATGCTGTTGTCTGACTAAATTTGGTGTATTGGTTATTTTTGTGTTCGTGGGGTGTATCTACAGCGCCTTGAAACACATCTGCTGCTGCTGCTGCTGCTGCTGCTGCTGCTGCTGCTGCTGCTGCGGTGTATGTACAGGTTCCCCTCATTACCATGCGAGTGGCCGCGTGCCTCAGCGACAACTTTCTTCTTTCTCTTTCTTCTCTCCCCGAGACGCAGAGACAATTCATCATTGCTATCTCCACCTGCAAAGATGAGGACCTCCTCGGCCACCTCAGACCCTTCAAGGTAACCAAACTTACTCTCTAGGGTTTAGGGTTTAGGGTTTAGGGTTTAGGGTTTTGCTTTGTTTGTTTGTTTACTAAGCAACAGATCGAGTGCTGTAGCCTTTGGTGAGTAGTAGCTCAGGGTTACTATGACAGGCACAGTATACCAAGGTGTTTCAGGTCTAGGGTTTAGGGTTTAGGGTTTAGGGTTTAGGGTTTAGGGTTTGGGTGTTCAGGGGTGGATGTGGGAGCGGCAAGGCGACGTCTCTGCCTGGGCCCCCGCGCTGAACCGCTTCGATGATCTCCTCAACGCCTACGCGCAGCACACGGGGCTCTTTCCTGAGGCCTCAGCCCCCCGTAAACCCTAAACCCTAAACCCTAAACCCTAAACGCTAAACCCTAAACCCTAGGTGTAGGTTAGAGAAGGCAGTAGAGAGACCTGGGGTCAACAATTTAGACGCAGACGAACACTGCACGGGAGCTCAGCGTTTCAGGGACATGCCAAACCCTAAACCCTAAACCCTAAACCCTAAACCCTCGCTCTGTGTGCAGAGGATCCCCCCGCCTTCGTCCCCTGCGAAGCACTGGTCGTCGCTATCCTGGAGACCTCTTACATCGTACTGGAGAACTGCTCCTCCAAGGCAAGCCCTGGATGCTGTCTAGGGTTTAGGGTTTAGGGTTTAGGGTTTAGGGTTTAGGATTTAGGGTTTAGGGTTTAGGGTTTGGGGTTGCTTGGGGCGCATCCGTTGCAGCCTGTGAGATGCAGAACTGTTTAAGGGTTTAGTGTTGCTTACACCTGCCAGTGCACCGTACCCTCGTATTCATGTTTAGGGTTTAGGGTTTAGGGTTTAGGGTTTAGGGTTTAGGGTTTGTGGCTGCTGCAGTTTCTGTACGCGTCGGTGGACGTGGTGACGGCGCTGCTGCAGTCGTTTTGTCTCCCCATCGTTTGCGGGGCCATTCAGCTCCTCGCTGTCTGCTACGGCTTCATCAGACGGTAACACAAACCCTAAACCCTAAACCCTAAACCCTAAACCCTAAACCCTAAACACGAAACCTTAGGAGCGGGGGTCAGGGCTGATCCGTTCCCTTTACTACTACGACTACTACTACTACTACTACAACTGCTGCTGCTGCTATTGCTGCTGCTGCTGCAGCAGCTGCTGCTGCTACTGCTGCTGCTGCCGCTGGTGCTGGTGCTGGTGCTGGCGCTGCTGCTGCTGCCGCTGCTGCTGTTGCGGCTGCTGCTGCTGCTGGTGCTGTTGCTGCTGCTAGTGCTGCTGCAGCTACTACTGGTGGAATGAGCGGCTTATCTGATGAG